TTACTTCTTTTTGTTTACAAACAAATACGATAGTAAACGCGTATGATTTGAATTCTCTCCCTTGAGTGTTTCATAATAGGTTTTAGAAAAAGTAGTTGAGACCATCCCAACTTCGGTAAAAGTTGGGAAGTTTTTGAGTACTCATAGACCTAACATTTTTTTTTAAATGTGTAGTTGAGCGCTCCGAGATCCCCAGTGGCTATCTAAGCACCAGCGGTCCGCTTATTGGGTGTCCTGCACAGGGGGATAGGTGTACTACTTGAATCACCAGTCTCGCTGCATTAGGGGCAGAGGCGTAGCGACCCTTCCCGGCGCCCGGGGACATACTTTCAATTTGGCGCCCCCCTCGGGAGCAAATTTTCGATTTGCACCCCCCCCCCCCTCGAACTTTTCATTTGCACCCCCCCTCAAACTTTCAAATTGGCGCCCCCCCCCCTAAGGTCGGCGCCCGGGGACATATGTCCCCCCCCCCCGCCCCCCGCCCTCGCTACGCCTCTGATTAGGGGCCTCTGCCGGTGGCCGTGTTCCCTTGTGACACCACAGCCGTCGCCAAGGGGTGTTTCTTTCACCATCAGCGTAAACCGGAGCGTGTTTGTGGTAGTGTGTACAAACTAACGCCCAAACAACTAAGCCTTGATAGTGGTTTTGTAAAAATAAAAATAGATTTACTACAGTAGTGACGTTCTACAGTAGCTAACACACGCTGTTGCGTAAAAGAATTTTTTTTTATATAAGTTGTAGTGTGAAAGATGGGCAAATGTTCAAACCACTTCAATGACTTATTTCCCTTATTTTAAATACTCAAATATGTGTGCTCATTTATAGATTTGCACTAATAAATTATATAACAATTACTCCTCTTTATTATTTTTTTTTTGTTTAAAATACATAATAAAGAATGACATAGTATAAAAAGGAAACGTATTTAAAACCAATAATTAAAATACCAAAAAAACATAAAAATAAACATAACGCGAGAAACCATTACAGATACAAAGCTTTCATGCTTTATATTAATTTGACCTACTTGAACTTGAGATTAGTATTAATAACGTCATTCTTTTTTTTTTTGAACTACTTAAAAACCCAAATTCCACCCTCTCACCCCCCCCCCCCCCCCCCCCTGCGTCCCCTCAGCCCACCACGCCGAGGAAAAAATCCATTGAATCATCATTTAATTACACATTTGCATTTTCAGTTTCAAATGTTATATATATATATATATATATATATATATATATATATATATATATATATATATATATATATATATATATATTTAGACGTTTTGTATTAGATCTATGTATAAGTAAACCATCTTAATAAATGAATGAAAGTAGGCTACAAGTAAGAAAGAAATATCACTACTGTAAATCTGTATCAGTCCTCACAAGCCGGTGATGAAAACTGTAATGCTAAAGCAAACACACACAACTGACGCTGTAAATTACATGTCTGAGGCAAAAAAAAAAAAAAAAAAAGAAATATTTTTATAGACCTTTTCAAAACAGACTAATAGCACTTACACAAATTACGCGTTTTTGTACTTGTTTAAATTTTATAATAAAAATAAGAAATAAGAACGTTTAATATATCAAAAAAAAAATTGCGGGATAGCCGTTTTTTTTTCTATTTTTCTAGTTCCGTCACTGCCTCATTGCTTGCGAAAAAAAAACTAATTATAGTAGTTGTTTTCTTAAACCAACCACAGTGTCAATATGTACAGCTATTATAATCAATAAAGTATTATATCAATAATCATATCCATAATACAAAAAAATCACACCAAGTACAATTCCAACAAATAATCAATGTCAGTCTATCTGTAACCCAGTGTATTCCGATTTAATTGATCTGCCATTGACGAAATATGGACCATGTCTCGTTAATAAAGATAAAACCTTTGCTGCGCACATGTAAAAAGTACATAAATAAAATTAACGAGCCGGCCCGCGGCATAACATACGCCGCTATTTAGTTGTTTCTAATTTTCAATAATTCATAATTTGTGAATTCGACAGTACCAACGCTGACACTGAAAATATTTCTTTAAAACACTATAAGTAGCTCGTTAAGGACCATAACCCCCCCCCCCCCCCCCGCCCCCTTCCTTCCCCCCCCCCCCCCTACGTTTAAAATCGTTGGCTCTGCTTGTAAACATTTAGAGTGAACACAGCTCACTAAAACCATGTAGGGGTGGGGAGGTAGGGAGAGCGTTTGCAGCTTGTTTTCTAACGGCTCGAAGAGATATATATAGACGAGCCGGCCCGCGGCATAACATACGCCGCTATTTAGTTGTTTCTAATTTTCAATAATTCATAAGTTGTGAATTCGACAGTACCAACGCTGACACTGAAAATATTTCTTTAAAACACTATAAGTAGCTCGTTAAGGACCAACCCCCCCCCCCTTCCTTCCCCCCCTCCCCCCCCCCCTCTCCCCCTACGTTTAAAATCGTTGGCTCTGTTTGTAAACATTTAGAGTGAACACAGCTCACTAAAACCATGTAGGGGTGGGGAGGTAGGGAGAGCGTTTGCAGCTTGTTTTCTAACGGCTCGAAGAGGAGAATTATATATATAGATAGATATTTGTATGTGCTCTGGTATTTTAAAAATCATTGTAGTTTTACCGGGTTAATTTTATAAGAGTATATATTTAAATTTTGATTTATTCTTTTTTTCCTATTAAAAATTAAGTAGTGACTTGCGATTGTCAATGTTTTATTTCAGTAAATTTTGACTAATTGAAATGTCAGATATTTTGACAGGAGTTTAACGACCCTGCAGTGGCCTTAATGCACTTGGCGAAATATTTTCAGCCTGCAAGAACAATAACTGGCATCAACTGCTCTAATGCTCCTAAGCTGAGTTACTTAAAAACTCGATGAAAATAAAATGTTAATTGAAAAGTACTGTAACTAGACAATGCCATAACGAAACAAATATTGCTTGATGGTTTTTCAAGGATTTGGTGAATGGGCTGAGATTGTTGGGACAAAATGGCAGATGACGTAACAGGTCACGTGGGTTCTACGCATTGTTTACCTAGCTGTCGGGAATTCTTCGATTGTGGAATTAATGAAATGGAAGGTCAAGACAATATCTGTTCTGTTACAGTTATTGGACAGAGGTTATTTAAAAGACACATATAAAACTGGGTTGTGGGATGGATGATAATCGTCTATGCCAGGGATTACTACTGGGATTGGGGGTGGGGGTGGGTAGTGCCTGATGTAGTGTCCTGCTCCCATTCGAATATAAAACACGGAGGGCAAGAAATATTTTTTCATTTAGTTATTTCTTGCTCTAGGTCTGTCGACTCTGTTCTTGTTATAGTTGAATGTTATGTAAAACACGCTAATCGGGGGAGGGGAGCGGTGGACGGAGTGGTTCCTAAAAATACCATGCAACATAAAGTTGGTGGTCCATGGATAACTAACTTTTCAAGGGGGAATAGGGTTATTCAAACTAGTCCAGTTTAATTATATGCGGGTTCTAATAATAGGCCTAAAATGTGCTGCGTTTAAAAAAATAAACTAGTTTTTAAAATTAGTTTGAAGATCTTTTGCAATGTTTTAGGAGTTTATTCTTTAAGTTTAGAAATTCTAGACCTCGTGTAGCAATTGATTCCGAAGAATTTTTAGAAGCCATTCAAAAATATTGAGCTAGGCATTCAATCAATGCCCGCTGTCACTTGGATATAACCCACTAGGTGGCGTCTGGTAACCCACTAGGTGGCATAACGGCTTCATTAACCTTTAACCCATCTTCACTATAGGGCTGGTAAGTGGGTCACCAACCAGTTTTACGGCTCAATAAAACCTGCATGAGCCATAGAACTGGTTGGTGACCTACTTACCAGCCCTATAGCTTGACGTCTTTACGTTTTGTCCCCAGGTCTACCAGTGCTCATCCTATGCGAGTCCCGGGGATATGTAGAAGCTGTGTGTGTACCCCCGGGGTGGGGCCAGAGTTTTAACAACGTCACGCTGGCCGTACAGTTGTCCACTACCGCGTGCCAATACAACGTCAACTTCGGCCTGACAAATGGAGCTCTGTGGGCCAACGGTGGATGTCGTGGCAATTTTTACCTGGACATGTGACGCTAATTTCAGGGGCCATTTTATCGTGCATAGACTCTAGAACTGAAAACTAACTTGATGACAATTATGTATTATTTCTACCTGCCCAACACTCCCCATAAATCTAAACTCAACTGTGTATTTAACATTAAAAAAAAAACATTTTAGAAATGGCTGGACGTCATGATTGAAGTTTGAATCAAATAAATAAAAACATTGTTCTGTAATGAAATCAAAACCTGCTACCAATTATTTTCCCTGTATAATACATAAATGAAAGATGGAATCAAATGTATTTAGCATTAAAAACTTGAGAAATTCCTGTGAAAAAAAAATCCCAGGCTTTTGTTATGTACATATTTTTCTATGTATCTGATGCACATTAAAAAATAGGTTAGTCTGAAGGTAAATTAGCAATTCTAAATTAAAAAAAAATAATTAAAACAACGCTTATGGGAACCAACACTTTATTAAAAATCTATTTAGATTAATAGAGGAAACATCTTAAAACAAAAACATTTTGAAACAGTTAATTATGAACATTTTTTTCTCCAACAGGAGCAATAAGTATTAACATGTTTAAAAAGTGGGTTAAGAAAGACAGTTTCATTATATTATTATTATACAACAATATATAGATATATATATTTATTTAAATTAATAAAAGGGTAAAACAAACACAAAAATATCTCTGGAGATTTAAGGTCTAACACTCAGGGAAGGAAAAACACAGTTCATAACACCAGGTACTGTAGATTAAAACTTTAAAAACCTAATCACCAGGACCAACAATGAATGAAACAAATATTGTAGGCTTTTCACTACAGCCTACAGGGAAGTCCATATTATGCCTCTCTAGCTTCCTGCTTAAATTTCCATCCATATTTTGTAATTATAGATTATAATTTTAGATGAAAACTGCACCCCAAATAAAGGGAAGCAACTCCACTAAAACATGGGCGCCCAAGTAAGGGAGGGAAGTGCAAACTTGTGCTCATCACAGGTTAACAAAAAACAGTAACCGGATATGGAACAAAATTGGTCAAAGAGCATGCCATTTTTTTTCTCATGACCTACTTCAGGACAAACATCACTAGTACACAACACTCAACTATTGAAAAGTTTATGATAAAACAACAAGTAGGGCATCCCCAACCACAATGCAGAGCCTCTAAATTCCTTCCCAACAATCAGCCTCAACCATCACCACAAAACACAGTTGATCAATTTACAAGCTTGTGATAAAACAAGATGTAGGGCATCCCCAACCACAATGCAGAGCCTCTAATTCCTTCCCAACAGTCAGCCTCAACCGTCACCACAAAACACAGTTGATCAGTTTACAAGCTTGTGATAAAACAAGATGTAGGGTGTCCCCATGAGTGCCCCATCCCTCTCCTCCAACTTCTCCACAAACTCTACCTCGTCCATCACCTTGATGTACTCATCATCACACTCTAGCCAATAACACCCTTCCTCCTCTCCACTCTCCATGAAGGACAACTCCTCCTTCACATCTAAGGAAGATAACTTCGCCTGACCAGCACCTGGACTTTCTTTTACCCCTATCTTCAGGTAAGATGCAGCTAATTTGCTTTGACCTTGCTTCAGGTCGTGTCGACATTCAACCTTAAAGGTTTCATAAAGTGAAGGTGGTTTCTCTTCAGCCGCACTATCTTCTCCACCACCACATTCCGAGTTGGGTCTTGTCTTGGCAAGCTGAGCAAAAACTTTCCTATTGACCTGAGGCTGGACTTTGACGTAGGCCCTGTAGTGTCCATGTAGTATGCTCATTCCAGAGTGAGTGACTATAGCATAGAGTGAGTATCTGAGAAGGTAAACAGACTGATGAAATATGTTTACATAAACTCATAATACATGCTGAATAACAAAAGAAGTCAGAAGGTTGGAAATATAATTTAAAAGAAAATTCACCATAAACTTCAAGAAATAATGCTAAGAATAAATACATCACATCTTATTATAAAATATATATTATAAATAATTCTAAATATAAACTATTTTAATGAGTAAAAAAAAAAAGAAAAATATTCTAGTAATCCAAATTTTGCAAGTTATGTAGACAGCATTGAGTACTGATAGGTAGTTGGCTACCCTCAATTGCTGTTCTACTTAAACCCAAATGCATCCTCTGTTATGGTTGAAATATACAGCAAAACACAACACAACCATGTGTCAACTACTGCGGTAACTCACGGATACCAGTTGTAAACACTGCTCAACTCAACTCACCTGTGGCTTTGGTCTGTACAGTTTTTACACTGGTACCTCAAGCAAGGTAAACTTTGGGGGATGGTCACCTTGTCATTCAACTTTGATAACCCTCCAAGTGAACTTGAAAAGAAATTTTTTTTTTTTACATCATAATTAGTTAAACTTGTACTTGCATTTAATCGCAACACATAAAGAAAAACAAATTATAGAAAAAGTGTGATATGAACAAAAGAGAAGCTAAGGACTAACCCAGAGTTAGCTCCAAATCTCTTCAAGTGTAATGTCAGAACCAAGGGTAGGGTGGTGTAGTGACATGAACGTTCAGCCTCCACATAGTGGCTGCACACCTCGCAGAAATATTTGTTGTTGTCTTTCAGCCTCTCTGTGTTAGAGAAGGCTTCCACCAACTTAGACAAGCAAGAATCTCTTGGGTCTTCTGTGGAAATATAGCAGGAAATGGGGTAAAATTCATTTCAGAAATACATGTATAAATTATCTCTAATTTCAGTACAAATATTTTGATATGAAATCATGAAGTCTCTTAGATATAAATATGCCAGTTTCCTAGCCTTTTACAAGGTTGACATCAAGTAAAAATAATTTACGTTTAGACCTATGCTTTTTTTTGGCGTTAGTTTTGTATTTTATAATTGTCTCATATTACCAACAATGTTCCAGAACAGAACACACTAAACAAATAATTGGTTAATGATCTTCCAGATTGCTGTTAATTAAAAGAATAACTTGATCTCCATCTAGCTACATGTCCCAGTACACAACACACTAAACAAATAATTGGTTAACGATCTACCAGATTGCTGTTAATTAAAAAAAATATCTAGATCTATCAACATGTTCCAGTACACAACACACTAAACAAATAATTGGTTAATGATCTACCAGATTGCTGTTAATTAAAAAAAATATCTAGATCTATCAACATGTTCCAGTACACAACACACTAAACAAATAATTGGTTGCAGTTAAAGTAAAATGTCAACATCCAAGCTATAGTGCCATTTACCCATGGGCTCATCACTATCACTGTCTACGTCCAGGGGATGGAGGCTTCTCACAGGCACGCTGATGTCCATAAAAACTTCCTGCCTCTCCCTGGCTGTTTCACACTCCAGACACTTAGTGCGGTGCATCATTGTTCCCCCAAACAGGTGTTCTACCAAGGTATTTCCGTGGACATAACCCTCTGCTCCCATGAAGAGAAAAAGTAAATCTATTTCAAAGTCAGAACTTTTGAACTTTTAAAAACAGAAATTTAGTAATTAAGAATCAGAAACAAATATTGTTTCTTGTATACTAATACCATATTAGACTTTGAAAAAATTATGCTAATACAGGTATTTTAAATAGTTAAGTAAAAAAAAAATTAAGAAAAATGGTGAGAGAGAAATAAATTTACCTGATGCATTAAGATTAAAAATATCTGTTGACAGCTTCAGGTTATAATTGAATTGTAATTTAGAGTTTTTGTTTTTCTTCATGCTTAGAAGGACTTTACTAGCGCTGACTGTCTGCCCTCTAGCAGCCAGTAACCAATCACAATTGTCCAGGGATACGGACAAAGGTCTGAGGGAGACCGTCTGTGTAAAGTGGGAGACATCTGGAGTTCTTGGACTTCTAGGGGTTGGCGGAGAGCGTGAGGGAGTCCTCCTGGTCATGTGATCAACTCTTGTAGCTGATCCTGGAGAAGTGCTGGGTGACCTTCTCGTTGAGACTCGAGGTGTCTGCTCATTTAGTTGTTTACCCCCAGTCGGACTTGGCTTTTGTTTACGTTCTGACTTATCACGTGACGCATCTGGTGATTCCGGATGGCCCCACAGAATGGCTCTTCTGGCTGTGGAAGTCTTCAAAGACGGCACAGGGTCGTCTGAGTTTAACACAGATACAGCATGTTTGGCACTGACTGACCTAACAGGGCTGACACCCAGGCAGTCACAATTTTTTAACTGGACTTCAAGTTCCCTGGGGGAGTTGGGACTCAAAGCTTCACAGCAATTTGGGTGGTTCAAGTGTTTGTGGGATGAATGGGAATGTTGCAAGTGGGCAGGGGAATTCGGCGCTGGGGTATTTCTTTCAGACAGAGGACAACTCCTGGAACCACAGCTTGTGACTCGACCATGAACAGGTGTCTCTTCCTGGTGTTTGTGTGAATGCTCGAAACTTCCCTCCAGATTTCTGCCTAATCTGGTCCTAGTTGGAGACTTACATTTGGAAGGAGAATGAACAGTTATTTCAACTTCCTTCTTGGAGCTGGAGTTGGTTGGATTGGCATCTGCTGGTGGAATTTCTGGGTACAGTATTGAGGGTGAGCGAGAAGGGTGCATTTTTCTCATTCCGAGATCATAAGATGATGACGTTCCGAGACTATCTTTGTCAGAGAGAATAGATATTTCATCACAGTTTCCAGGTGAATGATCAGTACACATTGTAGACGGTGATGAAGACAGAGAAGTCTTTCTTGTGCCAAGATCATAAGATGACATACTTCTGTGAACATCTTTCTCATTTAGAGCAGAGATATCATCACAGCTTGCCACTGGGGAGTTTTTTCTTGGTGAAGACTTGTCAGTAATAGTTGATGAAGTTAAATATTTTGGCAGGTTGTCTCCATGACAACCAACATTGAAAGCACAGCCTGGGGTATAGTGTGTAGCCTTGGACACTGGCGCGTTATTATTGTCATCACTAGCTTTATCGCTTCCTAAAACTTCACCATGGACTGATTTACTGTGACCAGCAGTTCCATGGCTGACCGAGGTCGACTCTTGCTTCAAAGGGTCACCCACCACCCTTCCTCTCATTCCTAGCCGTTTAATTTGTTGGAGAGGAAACATGGATAAGATTCCACTCATAGAGGAATCAGAGTTTGAGCCTAGAGATAATTTTTGTTGAAGTTTTCTGAACAGAAACCTTGCTCCGCCTGTTTTTTTCTCACCTACACATTTCTTTTTACTTTCAGAAATATCCGTTTCACTTGTATCCCGGGTACTATCCACACAACCCCCAGCTACTGGAGTCTTTAAAAACATAGACATGGAAGACTGCTGAGGATCTTTTTCCACCACTTTATGAAGACTACTGTTGCTTGATTTTCTTTTACTGCCCCTGGAGTTTACACAGACCATAGGTTCTGGCCCATCGTCTCCTACACGACTAGTCTCACATGCACTAACCGATGTGCTGACCCTCTGCTGATGTGGTGCATGTTGTTGGGTAACCTCTATCGCAGATAAAGCTTTCCTTGGCCGACCTCTGGCTCGTTTGACTGGTTTACCCTTGCTGCAGCAAAGAGGGTCGCCACCTTTCAACGTGTTCTCATTCTGCTGTAAATTTGCTTTCACAGGAGTCTCTGGCGCTGAAGTTTTATCAGCAGATTCATCATCATAACTGATCAAACTAGCATCCTCAACATCTTTTTCCGCCCCATCTGTAATCTTCTCTGTCTCTTTAAGCTTGAGTTTATTTAACTCTTTCTCTGCATCTTCAATATAGCATAGCAAACATCGTAACAGCTCTTGAGCATCATGCTGGAAATGGCCTTCAAACATCGGATTCAATTCCCTAACAAAAAAAAAAGGCATGTTATTATTTAAAAGCTGATAAACATACAGCTATGATTATCTTTAAGTAGCCTACAGTTTAATTACTTGACAAGTAAATTTAATTGTTTTAAAATTTACAATTTTATGTTTAGATATACCATGCATATATATTTTTTTTTATACAATAAACAACTGAATATAACCAATACAAATATTTACTGAAACCCATAGTGAGGTATGCTAAACCAAAAAAATTATGAAGTTGTCAAACCTGATGTTGTCCAACAGAGGGTTGGGTTTGATAGCCATGCTTGAGGCATCAGATGTAGCCATTTCCTTATACAACATTTCCTTCGTCTCCATTTCTTCATACATCTGGAATAAGATTACAGCATTCAAAATGGAAATATTTTTGTTTTACTGTACTGAGAAAATGAATACTTTCTATTAGAAATTGTCGACAATGCATTCCCCACCATTTAAACCAGACAATAAAGGGTCATTGAGAGTTTAAATAATCAAAGCAAGAAAAGTGACTTTTTGAGGCTGCTCACTGTGATGTCACTTTTATTATTATAGAGCAGCAACATTTTAAAAATTTCTTTTTTTTTTGGAAATATATAATTGAAAAACAGCAGTATGGTAACATTTAAAATTTCATCATAATGCCTGCTAAAACTATAACAGTTTAGATAAAATTAAAAAATCTAAACACTAACTAGAACTAATGACAAACATCTTACTTTATGAGTATTCTTAACCACTGCCCAAACAAGCTGTGCATCAGCACTACATGTCTGAGTTATCTGAGAATAAAAAATGTATGATACATATACTTAAATAACTTTTAAAAAAAAAACAGGAGTATTTTTTTCATATCCATTTAGCAGACTAACATAGAACAATATATGCAACACGACAAAAATAGCACAGTAAAGCAAAGATACAACATGACACTTAAATAATAGATCCTCACACCTCATCTAATTTCTCTTCTTCCTTTTTCTCTCCCAAAACAATTTCCTGTTGTAGATGTTTAACACCTCCGAGAAAACCTGGTGTATAGCGCAACACTTCCAGCATACAGTTCAGAAAACAAGTATTTCCTAAAAATAAAAATGGATTAATTAAAACTAGTATACATGCTGTTTTCCTAATGTTATGTGCCTAACAACATACGGTGGCTTTGTCCAAGTATTAGTGTTTAGCTCTGCCAAAAAACTAATGTTTTTCATCAATTGAATTCCACAACTTTATCTCAATCACACTGATAGCTTTTTACATTTACTTCAGTATTATGATGACACAAGAGTTGGCTACTATGCTAAAATTCCAACTTGCATTAACATTGTATTTAGTCTTAGAAAAATTTGAAGAACCACCAAGTGCAACAAGAAAAGTTCAAAGGCTACACATGGGTATAAATACAACATGAGTGGGTGAAAAGGTGGCACAGCTTTCTATCTAGTGAGAATGAAACAGTGAATGTCTTGTGCATCAATATATTACATTGCTATATAGATTATTTCTTTATATCTTAACGCTAGATCAGATATAATAAAGAGCACCAATTAGGCTCTGTAGTTTTGCCGCATGGCAAAATTAATGAATATCTGTTATGTATTTGAGTAATTCAGCATGGTGGCATTTAAGGAGATGAATTCTGATTGTGTAATTCAACAAGTTGAAAAAGACTGAGTATAATAATGTCTTTAAAAAAAACAAACTTGCCAAGGTTGTAGAGAGATGCAACTGGTGGCACCAATGGATCAGCTGATGATGGAAGGTTAGGTGTAAGGCTTACACTCTCACTATGTGATCCTCTGTCAAATAAAAACAGATAGAAAATGTTATTTAGCAAAATGTTTATTGATACAAATGTTTTATTTTACATATGACTAACAGTTTTTCTTTGGTAAGCCATATTCCTATAATCAACTTGCCAAAATTGTTATTTATCTGCAATAATAATTATATGGTAGGGTTAAAATATATTATATTAAAACCAATACTCACAAGGTTTTAGGTGGGAAGAATGAAGGTGTATCCTCTGACTTGATCTGAATTACATCAGCAGGGTTATCACCAGCAATATTTCCTGAAAATCCTGGCTTACGAGAGGTGCGTAGGCTTAACCGAGGTCTCTTGCTAACAGGTCCATCCATCTCATCTGGCATACCCATATTGTCACTAAGATTCAATATTTATCTGAAAAGGATGTCAATAAGATCTATTGAAACAGTTTATACTGAAAATAGGCATATCTTATGCTAAAACAAAAAAAAAAAGATTTTTTACAGAAACGTCACCTGGAGTGTTCTAATTAACTCCCCAAAGTTTGATGGTGATCGGATGAATTGCGTGAAACCGCAATCAACTTTTATTTTTATATACAGCATATAGAGAAAAAACAAATCACGCCCTGCCGGAGAGCCATCCCTGCAAATTTGAAATTTTTTTTTCTGCAGAAACCTCCCCTGGAATATTCTCAACAACTTCCCAAAGTTTCACGGCCGTTGTGATGAGAGGTGTAGTAATGCATAATAAAAGACAGACAAACACACACACACATCTTAAATCTTATTCTAAGTCCTAGATCTAGGTCTACCACTCTACGGGGATTATCTCGATCTAGATATCTAGATCTAAATTAAATAATAGAGGCCTACTATTAGCGGCATAAGGGTTATTTACTATTACTATAACTATTAGGCTAAATTAAATAGTAAAATAACTATTAGGCCTAACTACTAGGCCTAGGCCCCGCCCTAATAAAAATAAAATAAATAGCCTAGGTCTACTTAAAAATACTTAACAAACTTTACTTTAATACTTTTCTTATTAGTCTTTTAATTTTTTAACTTTTAGTTTAAGCAGTAGTTTTAGGCAATTTTCAATTTAGGGTTAGGCGTTAGCCGCGTTAGGCCTAGCTAGAGCTAGACTAAACTAGACTTAGATCTTAGAATCTAGTCTAGATCTAGATCTAGAATCTAGATCTAGATTCTAGATCTAGATCTAGATCTAGTAATTGAATGCGTGTCTAAGAAAAATGTTAACCAACAACACCTGACATGGATAATTATAGAATACTTTCTTGTACGATTTAAAACACAGAAAAGCTTAATACTTATGACTAAGAATTTTTAAAATAACATACGAAATACCTACCATTACTTCACTTTTTAAAACAAAATCAAAACAACCGCACTAATCCTGTTGCAATGGGCATACATTTATCTTGTAGGCCAGATAAGCCTAAATTTCCGCTTATAATAGAACTATTAAGAAAAGAAATAAAACAAGATAAACATCTAAGTGTGTTGTTTGCTCGTAACTGTGCATTAAATTTCATTAAAGGCATCTAACTTGGCGAGAAAAAATATGGTCAGAAAGAAAAAAATCGTTCATTTTATTTTTATTTCTAAAAAACTGTAGCCTACATTTACATTTTAACTTTTCCCTGGCAAATAAAGCCAAAAAGCGGCTCATTCGAAAGAAATGGGCTAAATATAATTTATAAAACCATTATCTAGTATTCATAATATAATATAATAAGTATCAATATAAATTAATGCTTTGCTTACGATTTCAGTGATAAAAGTATATACAATTTTTTTAAATAAAAGAGAACACGGTACCGAACCCCACGAGTTTAATAATGCAAAAATGTCACACCACCTGACCCCCCCATCACACACCGTCACAAAATTACGGACCCCCTACGAGTGTGACGTCATTTATGGACGACCCCTTTATAGTAAATGCACTAAAAATAAGTAAATAAATAAGAGATATCCTGAGCGACCAATGCTTTTATTAAAGAAAGTTTGTTTCATAATAAAAAAGATAGTTTTCTGCCCTATTTTACTTATTCCGTGGTAGACTTTCAGGCAAGAAACCAACCAACCGTGACCAAAATTTCACGGTCGTCTGCTAGCTGATTGAGCTATTGTTAGTAGGCCTATTTATTCTTGTAACCTCCCCTTTTATTATTCAATTTTGTAATTTTTTAATTACATTTTAATGATGAACCTAGTGTTAAATATTCTTGGATTGTCATCGAAGACGAATGTATCTGAAAAGGTTTGAATGAAATCGCTGCATTAGAAGTGAGATATAATCTAGCCTATACTAATTATAAAAACCTTCTCCTTATAAACGACGCCAATAGATGTACCTTTACGTGAGACAGGTATTATTTACCGTTCCACTGGGTTCTTATCCCCTAACTCCCCCACCCCTATTGTATACGTCACTACTCCATATATATCAGGTTCAGTGGCGTAGCGAGGTCGGGTGTCACCCGGTGCGGCACTTAATGGTGTCACCCCCCAGAGGCGTAGCGATCCGTCCCGGGGACAAACTTTCAATTTTCGATTTGCACCCCCCCACTCAAAATTTGATATTTTATGCCTTGGTGTCACCCCCCCCCCCTAAATGGTGTCACCCGGTTCGGTCAGCACCCCCCCCCCCTCGCTACGACCCTGATAAGGTACCATTTGGATCAGGTTTGGTTAGCCGGTCGATCCTTCTATGTTGTAGCTTAGGAATATAAGCCCTTTTCCTGAAAGTTCTGTCCAACTTTTCCCCATTATCAACATATTTTTGTATGTGTTACCACACTAAAGGATTGCTCTCTATTTTTTATTTATTATTATTTATTTATTTTGTATTAGACCTGTAAATTCCAGACGGTTTGTCTTCCTGTGCTGTCTGACAACTTTCTAAGTGTGTGATCGATAACCGCCATTGGTAGATTTTAATAGTCAGACGGTCGTTTGTTTATTCGCTGCATTTTTCGTTTGTAGGTAATGATTGTGGGTTAGCTGATATGAAGTTAGACCTAACAGTTAAAACAAGAAACCACTGAACACTGAACCAAAACAACAACCAACAGATCTCATCACAACCTCTCCCACCATTTTAACACACACTTTTTTGGATTATATGTTTTGTATATATATATATATATATATATATATATATATATATATATATATATATATATATATATATATATATATATATATATATATATATATATATATATATTTATATTTATATATACATATTTATATATAGGCTATATATATATATATATATATATATATATATATATATATATATATATATATATATATATATATGAGAGTTGGTCGCCAAACTCAACATCCAGACTTCAAATCGTAAACAAACAAGAAGTATGAGCCAAAAAAAATTACATTAAAACAACTTTTATTTCATAGTTTAATGAGAAATTATTTCTTTAACATATTTACTAAGAATATTTTTTTTGATGGTGTAAAATTTTTCTAACTACGAAGTACAATTTCGTGCGAATATAACCAAGCGTGAATTAGGGAATTCATGGTTAAGCAGTGGTAAAGACTACCAAATACATCATTTTCTGTACATTGTTATGAAATGTTTACTACACCTTACAGTACAGCAGTAGAAAAATATTCATCTTAAAACTGACACAAATATTATCAAAAGTTATAAAAATGTACGTATGATCTATGGACAGTGCTTAGCATTAACCATTTACTTCGTTTGCAGAGGTAAACTTCTAGATTTTGAATGCAGAATTAAAGATATTTTTAAAAAACTAACAATAAGTTAAACATAATCTGGCTTTTGTATTTTATTTCTAAAACTAGGTAAAATTAGAATGACTAGTATCTATTAAAAAAACAAATTTTATTTCTAAAACTAAGTAGAACTAGAATGACTAGTATCTATTTACAAACAAGCTAGATTAATAATTTCGACCTATGTTTATGTGAAAATAAAACCTCAAACATTATTTTGGCGATGTTAAATAAAACTTAAACATCGGTCACCTAAAGCTTTACAAAATGGCGTGTTGTGTCTGGCCATCTAAATCGCTCGAGTCTACAGATTGTATGACAAAACTGGCACGGTCATCTTGGTCAACTGGTGCTGGAAACCTGGTCTGATCTCCGCAATCAAGCTAAAGAGTTTTAAAAGGTTTCAGTTTAAGGAACTTTAGCAGCATTGTTGTTACATGTGTGTTGCTTTGTGTCTGATTGCCCCTCCTACAGATGACGCTCTTGCTTGCTTTTTAGTGTGTCAACCAAATGCAGAGACGTAGCGAAGGGTGAGTGTGTGTGTGTGGGGGGGGGGGGGTACATATGTCCCCGGGCCCCGACCCTAGGGGCCCTAAAATGGGTAGGAAAAAAATAATTAAAAGCTCATTTTAGCTGCATATTTGAATTATAAACATAAAAAAATATAGGGGGCGCCAAATTGAAGGTTTGGCGCCGGGCGCCGGGAGGGGGGGGGGGGTGGGGTGGTCGCTACGCCTCTGAACCAATGTCTTGCCAGTGTGCTATCAATGTGCCTGCTATCTCATTGTTTTATTCGAATCCAATTGAGTTACTGTTAACTTGCATACACACTAATCTTAAAAGTATTTACAAAATAAATTAAATACAGGAATACATAATCTTTAATCCAAATAACAACAAAAAACGTTAAAACAGAAAACTGTACCGGTACTAAAATAATCATCCGAGTGTGACCATCCTCCCCACCATCGTAACGTCCCGTTTCTTTAATTATACGAAAGTATGGCTTCATAGTCTTGACTGACTTCTATTGAGGCACGTGGATTTTATAAACACAATAGGCCTATCGGCATTTGTTCTAAAATACAAGTTTGTGTTTTTAGAACAACGTAATTTCATGATAAAGAAAAAAAAACACGCTTATTTTAAAAAACGATTTAAGTTTTTATTTTATTAACCTAATGCTTTAATTTAGTAAGTGTTCAAATTCAAACAACAATTGATAGGTTACATTTAATACTTTTGATGCTATTGAAGTTGCCTAAAATATCTTTCAATATTTTGTCTAAAGATACATAATTTTGGTTACTTAAAACTCCGTTGGGATGTACAAAATAAACATCGTAAATAATAAAGCGTAGCAAATAGTACAATATCAAAATCTTACTTATGCTAAGCATTGGAATTCACTATTCATGTGAAGAATTTTGAAACTTGAATCCAGCTAATGATTGAAGAACTCTAACAAGCTGTAAGAAATGTCAAGACACACGAAAAAAGAATTCATTATCGTTAGCATCATCCGCTGATATATATATATATATATATATATATATATATATATATATATATATATATATATATATATATATATATATATATATATATATATATATATATATATATATATATATATATATATATATATATATATAAACAATGAAACCATAACTAGCAAACAAAAAAAAGGCGATACTTAAAATTTGTTTCAAAGCAAATCTGCATTGTGCTTTGACATCTTTCTGACTATGATTAAAATGTGTATATTATTTAATTATTTGTTTACGTAGGCCCTTACTATCTAACTATCTAACTACTATCTAACTATGTGGATGGATGTTACAGAGGCTTTGGGAGGGCGGGGCGGGGGGGGGGGGGGTGAGGACCCCGCCGTGTGACACCAATGGGGGGGGGGGGTGACACCATTAGCAAATTGGAAAATGTACAGAAGAAAAATAGTCTTTTAATTACTACTAATTGACAATTATTACAAGAGGGTGGGGGGGGGGCACCATGACGTAAACGTGTTAACTATAGAGAAAACAATGCTACATCCCATTGTATTATATACATTATAGATATACATCGTTACTATCAATTCGGCAGTGATTAAAGCTTATAAACAAACGTGTACGATAATGCGGCATATAATTAAGTTATAGGCCCATGCAAGCCGACACACACACAAACACACATTATATATATGATTTGTTTCTTGGGGGGGGGGGTGACCTGTTGATATAAATTCTAAAGACAATGTATGTTGTGTTTATGTACGTGCGAATGTGTGCTTATGTGTATGGCCGTTACCCGTTGAAGACGGCAATGAACAGAAGAAACACGATGATGTAGAGTTTCGTGTAGAGATATCTGGGGTCAGTTTCAAACCAACCAGTCTGAAACAAATAAAATGAGTTTTAATTTTGGTAGCTACTACAGATAATCATCATCATCATCTTCTACCATTCGTGCCCAAAACACATCGGGCAGATGAAGTAGAGTTCGTCTGTTTCAGAGACATCGGCTTATGAAGGGATAGCGTGGTCAACACTATGCCCAGTCGCCTTTGCTTTCCCTAATGTCAGCTAGGTACCCAACAGAGCTGGGTGGACTCAGGGACGTGCTACTGACTTGAGCCCGATTCGAACCAGAGACTTTCAGATTGAGAGCCTAGTTCTCTATCGCTTACGCCAGAATAAAGGCGTATCGTTTTCTTAAAGTCTTGGCGCGCTAAGTTTTGAACCTTTAGATGAGATAATTAACGCTGACCTAACGTTTTTGGCGATAACCTTCTCAGTGCCTGTGTTCTTGCAAAACTCTGCCATATATATATATATATATATATATATATATATATATATATATATATATATATATATATATATATATATATATATATATATATATATATATATATATATATATATATATATATATATATATATATATATATATATATATATATATATATATATATATATATATATATGTATATGTATAATGTCAAAAACAAATCCATAAAGCTCTAAACAAATGAAAATTGCACTCACTAATACACATATTTCATGTAGTGCAGGACCTATTGTTGATGTAACGGCGCTTGAAAAAAGGCCAGCAACGACGAGAGAGAGAATGAAGACATATATTGCGTCTCTGCAGTTGTGCATCGCTGAAATGTTAAATTGGGGTGGGGGTGTACAGTTGTGCATCTATTAGATTGGGGTGTGGTGGGGGTGTACAGTTGTGCATCTATTAAATTGAGGTGGGTTGGAGGTGTACAGTTGTGAATCTATTAAATTGTGGTGTGGTGGGGGTGTACAGTTGTGCATCTATTAAATTGTGGTGGGTTGGGGGTGTACAGTTGTGGATCTATTAAATAGGGATGTGGTGCGGGTTTGCAGTTGTGCATATATTAAATTGAGGTGGTTTGGGGGTGTACAGTTGTGCATCTATTAAATAGGGGTGTGGTGGGGGTGTACAGTTGTGCATCTATTAAATTGAGGTGGGTTGGGGGTGTACAGTTGTGCATCTATTAAATTGAGGTGGTTTGGGGGTGTACAGTTGTGCATCTATTAAATAGGGGTGTGGTGGGGGTGTACAGTCGTGCATCTGTTAAATTGAGGTGGGTTGGGGGTGTACAGTTGTGCATCTATTAAATAGGAGTGTGGTGGGGGTGTACAGTCGTGCATCTGTTAAATTGAGGTGGGTTTGAGGTGTACAGTTGTGAATCTATTAAATTGTGGTGTGGTGGGGGTGTACAGTTGTGCATCTATTAAATTGAGGTGGGTTGGGGGTGTACAGTTGTGGATCTATTAAATAGGGGTGTGGTGCGGGTTTACAGTTGTGCATATATTAAATTGAGGTGGTTTGGGGGTGTACAGTTGTGCATCTATTAAATAGGGGTGTGGTGGGGGTGTACAGTCGTGCATCTGTTAAATTGAGGTGGTTTGGGGGTGTACAGTTGTGCATCTATTAAATAGGGGTGTGGTGGGGGTGTACAGTCGTGCATCTGTTAAATTGAGGTGGGTTGGGGGTGTACAGTTGTGCATCTGTTAAATTGAGGTAGGGTGGGGGTGGGGGTGGACAGTTGTACAGTTGTGCATAACTGAAATGTTAAATTGTGGTGGGGTGGGGGGAATGTACAATGAATTGTTAAAATTAAGTGGGGGTGGGCTATATAAGTTTTATACACTCTCCAATTGGTGATTTATAACATATATAACTGTGTTATATTGTGTTACGTTAGTCGCTAGATTGTATAATTGATCCTCGTTTAAGTATTTTAATTTTATTTTAAAAAGGGCTTTACGCATTTTAATTTTTTAAATTATAAATATGTTACTTTTTTATTTCAGCCTTTCAGTAGTTTATTTTAAATTGAATAAAAAAACCAACCACACACAAAATAAAACCGTTGCGAGAATTAATTCCCTTTAAAACAAGTTAATTGAAAAAGTCTAGTGACATTTGTGCGCAATTTCCTTATGTTATCTAAAAATAGCTCTGACGTATAATGTTGGGGTGCGTTCAAGCTAGAAGAACAATCGGTTTGTAGGTGTTTATGTAATTTTAAAATTTGTGACCGAACGAGAGAATATTTTTGAAAACTTTCTTCGGCAATATTGTTCTAAATTATGACAGGAATCGATTGGTACATGTTTCAAGTCGCTAAGTGGTCTGGTTGCCGAGATATGGGCCAAAAACTGCTTTTTTTCGAGATTTTTTGGCTTTTCTGGGAAATACATGAAAGAAACCCGGAATTTTTATGGCCTATGTTCATCCTCGTAACTTGCTTAACATAATTGCTTTTGGAACTAGTCATCGATATTGCTTCGTTGAGGAGGAGATACGACTTAAAGCTGCGGACACACATTCATCCATCCATCCATCCATCCATCCATCCAGAAATGACGGGTTAATAAACGCAATTCTCCAGAATGGAAATTGCGCTAAAAAATGATGTAGTTTTTTTAATCATATGTTTTACATTTAAAAAAAAAATTTAATCTATATTTTGATCTAGATCTACTTTTTAAGAGTATTTTTGCTATTTGCTTGCGATGATTTTCTTGTATTTGCATAAATTTTTGAACTCTACCTTCCGTGCTAATAAAAACAGTATTACCATAATAATCGAACATGTTTCAAATCTATTCTCACCTCTATGTTTTAACAAATTATCGACGCCGTGGATTTTCTTACGTTTCCTGATGACAATGACGCCTTGGATTTCCTTGTTTACTGATGACTGCTAAGGAAATAGCAAGAGTATTTAAACCGGAAGAAAGAAACAAAGAATGACACATTGTGTGTGAGAGTACGGATGAAAGGAAGTCTTCGCATTTACCTTCTTTTAAAATGATAAGGCGCAGAGGCGTAGTGAGGGGGGGGGGGGGGCGGGGGTGCGGACCGCACCGGGCGACACCATTTAGGGGGGGGGGGGTGACACCAAGGCAAAAAATAGTAAAATTTATAGAGAAAAATTTGAGGGGGGGGGGGGGGAGCAAATCGAAAGTTTGAGGGGGGGGGGGGGGTGGGGGTGCAAATCGAAAGTTCGAGGGGGGTGCTAATCGAAAAGTGAAAGTTTGTCCACTGGAAGAGTCGCTACGCCTCTGGGGGGGGGGGGGGGGTTTGACACCATTAAGTGCCGCACCGGGTGAAACCCGACCTTGCTACGCCACTGAATCGGCCTTAGCTTTTCTTTTATTCTGTAGCATTTCAGTAATTGAATTTTATTAATATTTAGTTTAAAAAGACATTATTTAAAAATGTTTTAAATGTATACATTTTTATATACTCAACAATTTATTTCATTTAAACATAATAATAAATAAAAATTAAGTTGGTCTTTTTATTCAGTTCTGATTTAGCGTCATAGCAAGCTCTAAACTAATCACAGTTTTAACTTTACTTCAGCTCAAGCAAGGCTTTGTTTTATCTTTTTGTGAGTGAATTAGAGATAAGTCCATATCATGCTGTCTAAAAATAAAATTTCATTTTTAAAGTTTTTGGATTTTCATCGTTTTCACTCACAGAAAAAATAAAAATATCTTCAGCAAGTTTTTATTACATTTTGATGTACATATCTAATAATATATAATCTAATAATATATAATAACTAATGGGACGGAGTGGTCTAGCGGTAGAGAGCTGGACTGCTAACCTGAAAGTCTCGAGTTCGAATCCTGGTTAAAGTAAGTAGACCGTCCCTGAGTCCACCCAACTCTGATGGGTACCTAACTCTCGCTAGGGAAAGTAAAGGCGGCTAGGTCACAGAAACAAGTGAACTCTACTTCACTCGCCCCTTAGACCATCAGGTTTGAAAGGGAAACTTTCTAATAACTTAAAATATATCTGTTCAATTACAGGTTGGATTTGGGCGAGCCGAGAGTAACAAATGACAAAATATATTTTAAGTGTACGTGTTAGACCAGTAGCCTATTTTTAGAATAGCAGCCGTTGGTAAAGTTAAAAATAAAAATAAATATAAAAATTCGATTAGAAAACAAATTCACCAAACAACATTTTAAAACAAAAAAAAAGTTATTTGGCATTTGGATAATCTGGTGGATTTTAATGGAATAAAGCTTACAACATGCAATAAAATTATTTCAAAATAAAAATAAAAAACAATATAAAAGAATCCTTGAAAGCTAATTATATTTATTGCCATTTTTTCTGTTTCAACGGGAAAAATTACATATGGTATAGCAGGTAGTAAAAGAAGAACTTCATAAAAATTATAGGTTTACATTACAACAAAATTAAAATAAATCAACTTTACTTTTAAAAAAAGAATATTTAAACATTTTAAAAGCAGGCCTACTGTGATAAAAACTAAGTAGGAAATTCATAATGTTGAATTTTATACATTTTGAGATTTTAAATGAGAAATTGTGATGTTCTTTAAATAAGCAATTGTGATGTTATTTACATGAGAAAATGTTATGTTATTTAAAAAAAGAAATTCTCAATATTGTCTGAGCTAAATATAGTTTAGAAAGGAAAACTATAATAAACAGTGAGGTATAAAATAAAATTAACATGCGATCTTGAGTTTGTTGGTGATACTACGGTTATCATAAATTTACCATTGAAAATAAGCTAATAGATTTCTTTTTTTTTTCAAGACCAATTATTCATGAACAATCTTCAATTCAGATTACAATCAGAAAACCAAAGCTCTAGAGAACAATCGGCCAATTCAGTTCTTGAAAGCAATATGTTGATAAAAAATAAAGTAGAATGGACAATTTGTTTTAACCTTGAAAACACAAGCCGGAACAAAAGCCCCACGTCGGTGTTACCATTGCCTTGTGTTTTGCTGAAGTTGCTGCATGATGGATTGCAGTTGTTCCTGATTGATGTGTAAAGAAACAGTTCTGTTTCCCGACATGTTTATAAAAAGGGTTTTGTTGTTATTGCCTGTAAATGGAATTTTCAAATTCGTTTAGGAAATATATCGAAGTAATTGCATAGGCTTTAAAAAAAACGGCGAGTAGAGGAATGCGATTCGCACTTGATGACACCCGACCTATTTACACCAATGTTCGAACCAAAAGCCAAAAATAAAATTGGTGTTTTTAACTAAATCCACACACTCCCTATATATGATTGAAACTGTCAATATAAAACCTAATGATAATAATCACGATTATATATATATATATATATATATATATATATATATATATATATATATATATATATATATATATATATAAAGAGACTGAGAGAGACAGAAACAGACAGGCAGACAGGCAGACAGACAGGCAGACAGACAGACAGGCAGGCAGACAGGCAGACAGACAGACAGACAGACAGACAGACAAACAGACAGAAAACATTGAAACTTACTCATAATACGCTCCTTCTCTTCCAGTTTATCTAGAGCTTCAAACAGCCTTTGAAGAATAGAAAATATAAAAATTCAAACATCAATTGTTTAATTAGACACATGCACACAATTTCTGTAAGTCTGGAACAAAAACATGAGAGAGAGAGAGAGAGAGAGAGAGAGAGAGAGAGAGTATGTGTGTGTGTGTGTGTGTGTGTGTGTGTGCGTGCGTGTGTGTGATTTCACGTGTGTACGTGTGCAGCTCTTACCAGAGGAAAAAGGCAATAATTAGCACGCACATTACTGTAACGTTTGCCCTGTACAAGTTATCAGAGTGGATGTGAACCTGAAACAAACAAAAAAAAAAACAACATAAAACACACACATTTTAAAGTTGAACAACTTATGACAAATCTTGATTTTTTAGTTCCAGTTGTCATGGAAAAAACACGTTTAGGGTTGCTCAACTTGAGATATGTGGACCCGCTGGGTGTTTTTAGTGACGTGTGAGGTGGGTATATGTTAAATTTAACATCAATATCCCTATAGCTTAATAACACATAACACATGTAGGCTTATCCGACATACAACAAGATTTATGGAAGAATTTTAACTGCAACGTTAAGGTTTAAAAAAAAACACCAGCACAACGGTTTTAATGCAGACAAGGTATTTATGTGCGTATAACTAAACCTAATACATAAAAGCCCATGTGCGCACTTCTCTCTCTATCTCTCTCTCTCTCTCTCTCTCTCTGTTCGCAACATTTTCGAGGCTATAAGGTACTCACCAAACATGTTTGTAAATTACTCACCAAACATTTAAGAGATGGCGTTGTCAAATCTGATATCCAGCGCGCCAACCAGAGAACAAAGCACCCTTCGAAGGTGCGGACTGCAGCTCTAATAAATATGTTTGGTCCTGAAAATGTACGTATAATAATGGCATATTGTGACGGTAAAACGCTGATACTGCTATCACGTATAATAATGGCATATTGTGACGGCAAAACGCTGATACTGCTATCAAGTATAATAATGGCATATTGTGACGGTAAAACGCTGATACTGCTATCACGTATAATAATGGCATATTGTGACGGTAAAACGCTGGTACTGCTATCACGTATAATAATGGCATATTGTGACGGTAAAATGCTGATACTGCTATCACGTATAATAATGGCATATTGTGACGGTAAAACGCTGATTCTGCTAACACGTATAATAATGGCATATTGTGACGGTAAAACGCTGATACTGCTATCACGTATAATAATGGCATATTGTGACGGTAAAACGCTGGTACTGCTATCACGTATAATAATGGCATATTGTGACGGTAAAACGCTGGTACTGCTATCACGTATAATAATGGCATATTGTGACGGTAAAACGCTGATACTGCTATCACGTATAATAATGGCATATGTGACGGTAAAACGCTGGTACTGCTATCACGTATAATAATGGCATATTGTGACGGCAAAACGCTGATACTGCTATCAAGTATAATAATGGCATATTGTGACGGTAAAACGCTGGTACTGCTATCACGTATAATAATGGCATATTGTGACGGTAAAACGCTGATACTGCTATCACGTAGAATAATGACATATTGTGACGGTAAAACGCTGGTACTGCTATCACGTAGAATAATGACATATTGTGACGGTAAAACGCTGGTACTGCTATCACGTAGAATAATGACATATTGTGACGGTAAAACGCTGGTACTGCTATCACGTAGAATAATGACATATTGTGACGGTAAAACGCTGATTCTGCTATCACGTATAATAATGGCATATTGTGACGGCAAAACGCTGATTCTGCTATCACGTATAATAATGGCATATTGTGACGGTAAAACGCTGATACTGCTATCAAGTATAATAATGGCATATTGTGACGGTAAAACGCTGATACTGCTATCACGTATAATAATGGCATATTGTGACGGTAAAACGCTGGTACTGCTATCACGTATAATAATGGCATATTGTGACGGTAAAACGCTGATACTGCTATCACGTATAATAATGGCATATTGTGACGGTAAAACGCTGATACTGCTATCACGTATAATAATGGCATATTGTGACGGTAAAACGCTGATACTGCTATCACGTATAATAATGGCATATTGTGACGGTAAAACGCTGGTACTGCTATCACGTATAATAATGGCATATTGTGACGGTAAAACGCTGGTACTGCTATCACGTATAATAATGGCATATTGTGACGGTAAAACGCTGGTACTGCTATCACGTATAATAATGGCATATTGTGACGGTAAAACGCTGGTACTGCTATCACGTATAATAATGGCATATTGTGACGGTAAAACGCTGGTACTGCTATCACGTATAATAATGGCATATTGTGACGGTAAAACGCTGGTACTGCTATCACGTATAATAATGGCAAATTGTGACGGTAAAATGCTGATACTACTATCAGTCACCCACCTTTTTATCCCCCCTCCCCCCATCCCACTTTCTGCATGCTATTTCAGCGCAGCACAGATCGTTGGTCATCTGACTTAGCGGACCAACTCAGTCGGAGTCACGTGGTCATAGGACCTAGTTATAATCATTAAACAGACTTATTGAGTTGTAGCGTAGTCGTGAGACTTCCATGATGCCGACTTGTTACGTTTTTTGTCACTGTCACTGTACTAGCGACTGAAATGTTATTCCTGCTTTAAGTGCATTCCCTGCTTGTGACGAAGTTCACGAGGCAGTTGCTATTGAATAATTTCATTTACTATTATTGCTATTCCTACCTAGACTTAGTTCCCCGCTCAGAAAAAAAATTAGACAATACATATAACACTATTATTTACTGTATTGCCGGTACAGAAGAGGTACTGTCCCTAATACAGACTGAATGCTATTTTTCACGCTTCATTATTGTAGTTATAGGGTATACAATTACCTTTAAAGTCCTTCTTATTAGAATCCATCATGGTTTGATGAGAGGCACTCATGTTTCCAGTGTCAACAGCCACACACTACAGACCGTTCTTCGTCTCACCAGCAGTACCCTGAGACAACAGCAGACGTCGGGGCTGTTTCAACCTGTTAAAACTGGAGATTTTTTTTAAAAACTGTGGTCAATGTTTCTTTAACAACTTCCTGGACATGGATGATTTTATACTCGACTTGAAGAATAAGTGATAGATTTGTCTAGTGAATCTTGAACGTATTCTAAAACACACAGAATATGCGTATGCATGCGTGTAGGTATGTAGGTGTCTATATATGTGTGTGTGTGTGTGTTTTGTGTGTATGTATGTATGTGTGTGTTTTAGTAATTTAATCGTGTTTCGCTAAGACATGATTGAAAAGTTTAACTTTCTTAAAGGTATAAAAAGTTGAATTGTACGTTTGCAGTATACAATCGCTAAGTATACAATAAATCGTGTATATATATATATATATATATATAATATATATATATATATATATATATATATATATATATATATATATTATATACTATATATATATATATATATATATATATATATATATATATATATATATATATATATATATATATATATAATTACCTAACATATCTAGATGATTAATTGTAGCATTATTTAGAAATGAAAAACAAATTCAAATTTAAAGTTATTTAGAAAACAAATGTTATTTTTAAAATGTAATGAAATTAATTAATTAATTGGTATGCACATACATTATACAAAAGCAAAATAGAGCAGTTTCCTGTGAATATCAAGTTAAGCGACACACACAGAATGATATATCAAAATGTTTTAAGTCATTGCAAGTCATTTTTTTTTACTTCACATTGAATCATTAAGAATACTAAGGGATATTTGATAAAGTGCCTATCTAGTCTAGAACTATGCTAGTTCACCTAAAATGCCCCCAAATTATTATAAAAAATCCTCAGTAGATAGACATCTCACGATAAAGCGTCGGAAATTATCCGGTAATCTTTGTTGAGTTTCGTAAACATTCGTTACTGTAAACACTTAGTTTATTTGACTGTTGAAATATAAAGTCAAGTGCATTAAATTAAAATTTTAACTTAAGTTTAA